ATTCAACGTATAGTCCGGAACGCCCAAAAATTGGTCAACTTAAAATTGGTGTATTTCTGAAACCTGAATTGCTGCATTTGGAAGTTGAGTGTATATACAATGGTTGCTATGATGAGTTTTCACCGTTTACTCTCCAGTTTTCAAAATGACGTCCAAGCAAGAAGAGCAGCGTGTCAAAATTTTGCTCGCGCATCTAGAGGATCCGACGTGCTCACACGCCAAGTTGGCAAAATTGCTGGATGTGGCCAAATCGACCGTGACAAACGTTTTAAAAGTGTTCGGGGGCGTCTGTTGACCGCCAGGAAGCCTGGAAGCGGCGGCAATCGTAATCCGGACGTGGCAGCGACGACGAAGAAGGTGGCGGTGAAATATAAGTGGAATCCTAAACTTCTCATCCGGGACGTCGCTGGCAAGCTCAATGTCTCCCATACTACTGTGCAGCGAGCCAAGAAACGAGCCGGGTTGTCGACGTTTAAGAAGGTGAAGGTGGCGAACCGAGATTACAAACAAAACACGTCGGCAAAGCAGCGGTATACGAATCTGCTGTATACGAATCTGCTCACAAAGTTCGACTGTGTCGTCATGGACGACGGAACTTATGTGATGGCAGATTTCAAGCAGCTTCCGGGACAGGAGTTTTATGCCGCATCAGGAAAAGAGAAGGAAGCTGAAAATCCATCAAACTATCGAAGTTCCCGAAAAAATATCTCGTCTGGCAGGCCATATGCGCGTGTGGTCTTAAAAGCGGCATTTTCATTACTACGGGAACCATCAATCAAGAGATCTACGTCCAGGAGTGTCTGGAAAACGGGCTGCTACCATTCCTAAAGCAACATAATAGACCTGTGCTGTTCTGGCCGGACTTGGCGAGCTGCCACTATGGAAAAAAGGCAATCGAGTGGTACGATGCGAACAACGTTGTTGTGGAACCCAAAGACCACAACCCTCCCAACAGCCTAGAACTCCACCCTATCGAACGGTTTTGGGCCTTGGTCAAACGGAATCTAAAAAAAAAACTAATAAATCCATGGAAAACGAGCAGAAGTTTAAATCTAACTGGCGTTCGGTGGCGAATTACGTCGATGAGACCACTGTGCAAAATTTAAGCGGTTAAGCGGAAGGCACGGCAGTTCGTATTTGGCAAACCAAATGAATAAACGAACATTTTTTCCTTTAAATGTATACATCGAACTACCAAAAGAAAAAAAAAAGATTTTTGTGAAATGAATTTTGACTAAAAGAAACGATTTTTTTTTGTTGGACAATTTTCGCGCGTTCCAGTCTTTAAAATTAAAATTATTGCTTTAACAAGAATATAACGATAAATCAAAATATACAACAAATATTAGCTCAGCCTGCATGGCCAATCATTCAATTTCCTAGCAATATTCCATGGATTTTTTTTTTTAAATTTTCAATCTTTGCTAAAAATCTTAATCAAACAACCAGTGGCGCAGCCAGGATTTCTGCCTGGAGTGGGGTAAAAAAGACGTAATTAAAATAAAAAGCTAATTTTTAATTTTGCAACAAACATCCTGGAAATCAATTTCCACTAATTTCACCAAATTCTTTGAAAGCTATTTTGGTTTAAAGAGGAAACTTTTAAAAAACATGGTTAATATACATTCTTTTATTAATATAAGATTCTCGGGAAATTAACTCTGTAAAAAACTATCAATAAATTAAAAGAAATTTCAAATGGATGCTAATGGAAACTTTTTGGAGAGGTTGGAAAGAACTTCCAGAGCAGTCAGAAAAAATCCGAAGAAAGTTTGAATAAACGTTTAGAAAAAGTTTCAAGAAACTTCAAAACGAATATTTCTCGGTCATGTCAGCAGGACCTCTGGGGGAACTCGGAAGGAGCTTGGCTTTAGAATTAGCCAACGTTATTTATTTATTTATTTGTCGTCAATCAGTGTAGACCGTTTTACAATAGTGCTTTTGCCTTACATGCTATTTTAAAACATACGTTTTATTTGAAATTGTCAGCAAATGTAGACTGCATATACAAATATCTAAAAAATAAAAATTGTTTTAAACTTAACGAGATGAAATCCTAGCAGTTAGTGTTCTCCTTACTGTATCTTTAGACATCGTTAGATCTATATGCTCACAATAATTATTATACACTCTCATCATTCTATTAATTGGTCCATTTTTACCATAATTCGTTCTGTGAGGTGACAGTTGAAATACATTTCGAGTTCTTAACATGCGTGATGGTACGTAAAAATTTAATCTTGCTAATATTTTTTCTGAATTTACGCGTTGTGAGATAATATCATTGACAAAGGAAATCATGGAAATTTCTCTTCGTTTCTTAAGTGTTTCAATGTTTATCAACATGCAACGGGACTCATAAGAAGGAAGGGGAAAAGAGGTCCAGCCTAGTTTCCTAAGAGCAAATAACAAAAACTGTTTTTGAACTGATTCCATACGATTTATATAAGTTTCATGGTATGGAGCCCAAACCACACTGCAGTATTCGAGAATTGATCTCACGTAAGCTATATAAAGTGTTTTGATGGTATATGGGTCTTTAAAATGATAACTAAATCTTTTTATGAATCCCAACATATTATTTGCTTTGTGAATTGTGGTATTCACATGATCTACAAATGTCAACATCGAGTCAAGAATTACTCCTAAGTCCCTAATTTTATCGCACCTTACAACCAGCTGGTTTCCTAGAGTACATGTTAAATCTAGAGTAGTGTTTTTTCTGGAATATGATATAATATTGCATTTTTTAACATTAATATCCAGCAGACTTTTAACGCACCAGTTGTAGAAAACATCAATTTCATTTTTAAAATGTAGCAAATCAGAATTGTCAAAGATTTCCATGTACAGTTTCATATCGTCAGCATATATGAGCACATTTAAACGATTTAACACAAACTTCACGTCATCCACAAATAAAATAAATAATAAAGGACCTAAATGAGATCCCTGTGGAACTCCCGAGGTAACATTAACTGGCGAAGATATTTTTCCTTTAAAGCGGACCATCTGTGTTCTTTCTGTCAAGTATGATCCAATCCATTTTAAAAGTGTACTTGTCATACCTAAACGTTTTAATTTAAAAAGAAGTAAGGGAATGTCTACTCTGTCAAAGGCCTTACTAAAGTCAGTGTATAAGGTTTCAACGGTATTACCTCTATCCATTGCTTCAATAGAAAAGTTTACAAATTCCAACAGATTAGTAGACGTTGACCGACCTTTAAAAAAACCATGTTGATTATTTGAAATGCGATGCTTAACCTGGTTAAATATTTTCTGGTTAACAATTGCTTCAAACATTTTAGGAATGCATGACATAATTGCAATACCTCTATAGTTTTTAATATCTGACCGTTTGCCAGATTTAAATATTGGAACTAAAAATGATTTCTTCCAAATTTTTGGAAAATCACCTGTTTTGAGAGATAAATTGTAAAGCCAAAACAATGGTTTAACAAAACTTGTTGCTATTTTTTTCAATAAAAATGGAGGTATTTCATCAGGACCAGGTCCTTTGCCAGCATCGAGACTTTCAAAAGTCATAAAAATTTCTTTAACAGTGATATTTAAAGAAAGCGTTAGTCTAAAGAAACTTCCAAATCAAGTCTAGGAAAAAGCGGAATTAACTTCCAGGAGAAGATGCAGTACTCTTCCGGTGGAAGTCGTAAAATCATCCTAATAAAACTGGAATAACCTTACGTGGAAGAAAGTTGAGTAAAACATTCAAAGAACCTCTAAAACCCTCTCCCCGCACTGCGCCAGTGAAACCGTCAATTAATTGTATTTTGTTCGAATCAAAGTCGGAGTCGGAGTTAATTATTTTGGGGAGAGGAGTTGGAGTCAGAGTCGCAGTCGATTGATTTAGATCCGACTCCACAGCTCTGGAAAATTCTAAAAACCTCGCGTCACTTTTCAAATAGACCAATATCCGCCATTTTGAGAAAATCGAAGTTGAAATTCGACAGATTATTATTTAAACTGTTTAGAAACAATACATGTTGCAAAACAATTTTTACTGTAGTCTGTGAATAATAACGTTGAAAATTCAGTAGAAACGGTAACATCCCAATTTTACTTTGAAATTCATGCTACCATATAGAAAAAAAACCACATAGGACGTTTTGACTAGTCAAGTTGTACATCGGGTATGTTACATTCAGGGTGGCCAGATTATTTTTTTTCATTATCGGTAGGTCGTCTTAAGAAGGCTTCCCGAAACTTAAAACCTTTGTGAGCGGGGAAGGATGAATACAAATCACGCTCAATTTTTGACTTTCGAACCGAGCCATCAGTCCTTCAACTTCACACATTGGATAGTCTAATCTAGAGTCGGTGTATAATGAGTCACGCCAAGAGTAAAGCCAAGTCTACCTATTGAACTGTCAAACCGGCTACCTATCGTGCTATAACTTCGAAAAATATTCCGATTTTTGTACATCATCTGATAGAGCTTCGTTTTTCGTACTTATTTAAAATAGTTTCAGTGTACCAAAAAAGTGTACCCCTAAACAACCCAATTGAGGCATTTTTCAAGATTACTTAAAATCTGTGATTCTCGGTAGGAAAAGTGTAAAATCGGTAGTTTTGAACCTTTCGTCTGTGAATCGGTAGGCATCCCAAATATCGGTAGGACTACTGATAAATCGGTAGGTATGGCCACCCGGGTTACATTGGATGATTTTTCTCAATGACATAATCAATGATTAAAACATTGGACGTTTTGTTCTACATGATACTAGATTCCCTTTCACAGATTTCAGAATATTTACAATACCTAACCTTAGATTGGTTTTCCTTGCCCCGCCTTTAGAAAATGAGCACCAATCATGTTAGGCAGTCCAAATGTCCGAAGTAACAAACACGTACCCATCATTTCAAACTATGCATTGGACATTTTTTTACCGATGAATATCTTAAATAAATGAAAGTAAATTAGGACCCTATGAAAAGTTACGCGAGAAATATTCTTCTTTTATTCACTTATGTCAAGCACTCACCTCGCCATCAAAATAATCCGATGAGCGTAAATACGTTCCTCACTGGTGCCCAGTATGAACACCACATCCGCCGTATCCTGATCCTCGGAGAGTTTCTGCAGATCGTCCAGCAGTTGTGGCAGTCCGGCAAGTACCTTGTCACAGATCACAGACTGTGCACGGCTTCCCATCGTCTCAGAGTCACTGTGGTAGCTGATTTCGTATTTCATTCAACCGGGCTTTCTTGTCGATGGGTCTCAAAACAAAAGTTATCCTTAGTCGGCAGTAGGGCAACAATGGCTTCCCCTTAGGTCATTCACTAGATCGCTACTCGATCGATTTGTAAACAAAACAAGTAAACAGCCGGGCACGTTCTGGTACGCTGGGAAAACGGTCACGTTTTTTATGTTTTGATCAGCGTCTCTCTTACGCAACACGCAGACAGCTAAGCAAGACCGAGAGCATAAACAAAACACGTGAGGTAGAACAAACACCACCAGTAAAAGAGCGATCAACGATCCTGAGCTTATGTTGGTACTGCCACCAACAGGTAACCGAACTCTTTTTCTCTTCACTCACACCAACCGGGGCATAAGCTAACAAAAATAATGATCCTCAAATCATGGAAACCGAAAATTGTGATCGCATAAAGTCACTTGAAACCTTAAATCTTGCACAATTTGAGACACGAGTGTATGATTGCGGCGATATGGGTAACCGAAGGATGGATTGCATGCCAATTACAATTGATATCGAAATTGAATTCCTTTGCTGTGAGCTGGAAAAGCGACGAACCTGGACCACTTCTAAACTAGCTGACTGACTGACTGGCTGAGTGGAATCCAAACCGGCAGCAGCACAATCTTATACCTACTTCGTGTTCTCTTTGGGATTCCAGACGATCATACGCATCGAAGGTATGCTAAGAGATTTCGCTTGTAGCCGTTCGGTTTGGTGAGGCTCTTTTCTGTTTTATGTTTTGATCTGCGATGGTTTAATGCGGTCCGGTGCCGAGATTCTCGTGGCGTTGAGGGATCGAATTGTACCGGATTGTAGAAAAGCAAGTTGCATACTCTATTAAGATCCGTTTATTTCGAATGATCGCGAAGCGGTATGCGTGGATGGATCGGTTCATAGATATGAACAGATTGAAAACTCGAGTGTAATGAAGATCAAGGAATTTTGGAGTTTAAACAGACTATTGGCCTTCTAGTCTACGGTTGAAAATCTCTGCAATAATGATAAACCAACCAACCAAGTTCTATGTTCAGACTAGGGAGTTATAGAATTTTAAATGCAATTTTGATAGTATTTTACTTAATGATAATTAATATAACATGCAGCAAAGACTCTATTGCGAATAAGGAATAAATATCAGAAAAGATTACAAAAGTTTCGCTATTTTGACCAGTGTCAAAAAATCATTCTCAAATTCATTCATGGGCTGTTTACACTTATGCTATTTTACTAGCGCAACCAGCTCAACCAACTAGCACGAATTAAGTTGTTCCTGCAATCTCATCTACCGGCTGTGCTATATACATTTAAATTATACATAGAATCAAAAGAAATTGAGTCGAAATCATCTCATTTTAAAAAACCAGACAAATTTGTCTATATTTTAACTACTTTGAACATTCGCATTAAACTCTTCAATGGATTTATTTGGAATGTTTTCATGATTTTTTATTTCCCTTTACAGAGTTCTTTTCAGAATTCCTCTAAAAAAGATTTGAAAATCTCTCTGGGATCCCCTTGAAGTTTTGTTCATAACATTATATGCAGAACAATCCTGACAAAAATCATTGAATTAATCCTTAGATTTACTATGATTGTTTAATGATTATTCCAAGAATCCACTAAAGCTTCCTTTCATAATTCTATTTAAAACTCGCATGAATTTTCCATTGAATTTCCATACAATTCTTCTTCTCAGAATTATCTATATTCATCTCGAAATGCCAAAGGAATTAGTCTGGGAATTCCCTTAAAAATCTTCTCATAATTCCCTTAGAACTCCCTTCAGAATTCACTTGAACATATTTTTAGAGTTACCTTGGAAATTGCCCTAGAATTATTTTGGAACTATCCTCAGAATTCAATACCCACGGAATCCCTACCCGAGGAAATCCTTCTTGGATATCGATTTGGAAAATTCCTCTTCGATCCTTTAGATTCTTATAGTAATCTGCTAGGAAGTCGATTTGGATAAAAATTTACTGCCGCCATGGCGTCAAGCGCAAAAGAAACGGGAAAACTCTTGATCCCCCTTCTGATGAAATTAATTTGAGTAATCAATTTGATTTGCTCACGAATGATGAGAATGATCCATCATCCAAGAAAAATTCTAGTAAACTTTCCCGGCTTAATGCTAAGAAGAAAAAGATTCCCCCTATAGTGATAACCACTTCCGATTTCCAAGCTCTTCGCTTGAAACTTTTGAATTTCGTGAAAGTTAAGATTTCACTACAAATTGGACGTCGGGGTGAATGCCGTGTATTGGCTGAAACCTTGGACGGATTTAAATGTCTTCTCAAGTATCTTACTGAGAAGAAGCATATTTTTTTTACTTACGACACCAAAACTGAACGTGTGTTCGAGGTTGTCATGAAAGGACTGCCCAGTGGGGAATCCCTGGATCAGATCAGAGATGAACTGGCAAAATTACTTGGAGTTGTGCCACTCCAAGTAATCAAAATGAAAATGAAATCCCGTCCTGGCGATTCGCGCAACGGGATTTCTAATGATTTTTATTTAGTTCACTTCAAGTCTAGTGAACTAAACAACCTTGAGGCCTTGGAAAAAGCAAGCATTATGCTCCATGTCCGAGTGAAGTGGGAACACTTCAGGAAGACTGGAGGAAAATTCCAAAACCTCACCCAGTTTCGTAAGTGCCAGGGATGGGGTCATGGAACTAAAAATTGCTACATGCCAGCTAAATGCATGTATTGTGGACACATTGATGGTGGAGAACAAAGAAGCACGCAACGTCAACATTGTTTCTCGCAACCAGAATAATCCTGCCTCAAAAAAGAACCAAAAAGTGCCGAAAACGCCATGTTGGAAGTGTGGCGACCAGCACTATGTTCGTGAGTGTCCGTTCGCTTCGCACACCTGTTCCAGCTGCAAGCAACAAGGACACAAGGAAGGTTATTGCAACAGCAACAAGAATGCGCCGTCGAAACCGTTCAAACAGGTCAAATCCAAAGAGAACGTGAAGACAAAAAGCATCTACACGGTTTGCAACATCGGAAGCAAGCGGAAGTTCATCCCGGTCGAGCTCAATGGTGTAACAGTCAAACTTCAACACGACTCGGCGTCCGACATCACCATAATCTCAGAAGAAACATGGATCAGCATCGGACAGCCATCCACTCAACCGACGGAAGAATCTGCAGTTACAGCTTCTGGTGGCAGTCTCAACCTACTCGCTGAGTTCCAGACCAAGATCACCATCAAGAATGTTACCAAGACTGGTCGCATTTTCATCTCAAGCAGCGCTGAACTCAACGTTCTAGGAATCGAGACTATGGATCTGTTCGATTTGTGGTCTGTGCCGATAAGCAGCTTGGTCAACGTCGTACACCAACGTTCTGATCAGTTCACCAATCAACTCAAGCAACAGTTTCCGGAAGTTTTTCGAAGCACGCTGGGTAGATGCACAAAAGCGCAAGTGAAGTTGTACCTCAAGCCTGACGCACGTCCTGCATATTGCCCGAAACGACCAGTAGCGTACGCTGCACTCGCCAAGGTGGACGCAGAACTTGAGAGGCTCCAGCAAAACGGTATAATTTCTCCAGTTCAATTCTCGGACTGGGCAGCACCAACAGTCGTCGTACGCAAGTCGGACAATGTATCAGTCCATGTATGTGGCGATTATTCGACGGGGCTGAACAACGCGCTAGAATGTGACCATCATCCACTGCCTCATCCTGACGACCTCTTTGCGGAACTACATAGCTGGAGCACGTTACTTCTCTCATCTCGATTTGTCTGACGCTTACCTACAGGTCGAGGTCGAGGAGGAATCGCAAAAGCTACTCACGGTCAACACGCATCGTGGACTGTTCCAGTATAACCGACTACCTCCCGGAGTCAAGTCGGCACCCGGCGCTTTCCAGCGCATCATCGACAGCATGGTGGCCGGCATCCCGGGAGTCAACCCGTATTTGGACGACATCCTCATCGCTGGTCGCACCAAGCAGGAACACGATCGCAGTCTCTACGCTGTTCTCGAGCAGATCCGTGAGTATGGCTTTCACCTACGCCTCGAAAAATGTCGTTTCGCACTCTCCCAGATCAAGTTTCTCGGACACATCGTGGATAAGGACGGTATTCGGCCTGACCCTTCAAAAACAGAAGCCATTTCCAAGATGCAGTCACCGAAGGATGTCCAGCTACTCCGTTCCTACCTCGGTGCTGTCAACTACTATGGTAGATTCGTTAAGCAGATGAAGCAACTCAGGGCTCCTCTGGACAGCCTCCTCAAGAAAGATGCACGCTGGAACTGGACCAAGGACTACCAGAAGTCTTTCGAGCAGCTCAAGGCCATTCTACTTTCCGACCTGCTGCTTACACACTACAGCCCGTCCAAGGAAATCGTTGTTGCAGCAGATGCATCGAAGTACGGCCTTGGCGCTGTCATCATGCATCGATTCCCGACCGGTGAAGTGAAGGCAATTGCGCACGCCTCGCACTCACTGACCCCAGCAGAGATGAACTACGGACAAGTGGAGAAGGATGCATTGACCCTGATATTCGCTGTCACCCGTTTCCACAAAATGCTGTATGGACGACACTTCCTCCTGCAAACCGATCATCAACCGCTACTCAAGGTTTTCGGCTCAAAGAAAGGTATTTCTGTTTACACAGCAAACCGTTTGCAGCGCTGGGCCTTGACACTTCTGCTGTACGATTTCGACATCCAACACGTTTCATCGACGAATTTTGGTTATGCAGATTTTCTATCCCGGCTAATGTCATCGCAGCATAGACCAGATGAGGATTACGTCATAGCCGCCGTGTGCGTCGAATCTGAAGCAAAAGCAATTCTCGACGACACCATCAGCAACCTTCCAGTCACGCACCAGATGATTGTAGCTGAGACGCGAAAGGATCCAGTTCTTCAGCAAGCGGTAAATTTCCTTAACGAAGGTTGGCCAGCAAATGCGAAGCAGTTGCTGATCCTGATGTCAAGAAGTTCTTCACCAGACGAGATGGACTTCAAGTTGTCGACAACTGCGTTATGTTCGGCGATCGAATCGTCGTCCCATCAAAGTTTCGAAAGCGGATCGTTCGTCAACTGCATCGTGGACACCCAGGAATGGACCGAATGAAGTCTCTGGCCCAAATTTACATCTACTGGCCTAACGTTGAAGACGATGTGAAGCAATTCGTCCGTCAGTGCACTGCATGTGCTGAAGCAGCGAAGTCCCCGACAAAAGCAACCTTGGAGTCATGGCCTCTCCCGGACAAGCCATGGCAACGTGTCCATATCGATTTTGCTGGTCCGATCCATGGATACTACTATTTCGTCATGGTAGATGCTTTCTCTAAGTGGCCCGAAATTTTTCGCACTCAATCCATTACCACAACTGCAACCCTGAATATGCGTTTTCTCGTTACGGCAAACCAGACACATTGGTCTCAGACAACGGAACGCAATTCACCAGCGAGCAGTTTCAACAGTATTGCCGTGCAAATGGTATCACCCATCTCCGCACTGCTCCCTACCACCCGCAGTCCAACGGTCAAGCGGAGCGATTCATTGATTCACTCAAGCGTGGCCTCAAGAAGCTAGCCAAGGGGGAAGGATCACCCACACTGGAGCACCTGCAGACATTCCTTTCGGTGTATCGTTCAATCCCAAACCGAAACACACCGCAGTCGACGTCTCCAGCAGAAGCATTCCTCGGAAGACCAGTGCGCACCACTTTGGACCTACTGAAGAAACCTGTTCCTGTAAATGAAGCTGTCAAGAACCACAAACAAAACGAACAGTTCAATTGGCGACATGGAGCATTCAAGCGCGAGTTTGAAGAAGATGACCTGGTCTACATTGAACAGCATTGCAGAAACGCCAAGTCTTGGATTCCTGGTCGAGTCATCGAACGGAAAGGTTCCGTCAACTATATCGTTGCACTGGACATGAACGGGTGACCGAAGCTGGTGAGGTCGCATGTAAACCAAATGCGCCCTCGTTACACTTCTGATGATCCAGAGCAAGCGACGCAGCAACTACCATGGGAAATCCTGCTTGATGAAATTCAAGATGAAGCTGTACCGTTGGATCCAGAAGTGCCATTCAATCACGATGTCCCTATTCCTGTTGGTTCCGTATCACTCGAAGCTGATGGTCAAGTGGCAAGTACGTCTGGCGAAAATCCTTTTTCGACAATCGATCATGAACCTGCTGCTCAAGATGGAGAACTGCAGTCCGCACAAAAGCCCGTGTCATCTGAAGCAGTTGGAGACTTTATTCGACGTTCTGTACGAGAATCAAGAATTCCAAGATGGCTCTCTTCCTATGACATTTTCTAAAAGGGGGAGATGTAGTAGGCCTTGCCTGACTGTCATAAGTTAGAGATTGATTCTTTATCCGACCACCAACCAAGATAGACGTAATAAATAGTAGCTCTTAACAACAGCTTGTTTTACTTGTTGGCCTTGGTTATGGATATAACAGATTGCTAAATTGAAGAAGTTTAATTTGCCTCTTTATATTATGAAATTAGTTCAAAATTATTTAACTGAGCTCTGCAGGTAAATTATCAAAATTTCAAATCAAATCGACTACCTGTTAGAGCAGGAGTTCCTCAGGGTAGCATTATTGGGCCTATATTGTATAACATTTTCACTTCCGACCTCCCTGATTTGCCTCAGGGTTGCCACAAATCTTTGTTCGCTGATGACACAGGCATTTCCGCTAAAGGAAGAAATCTTCGTGTTATTTGCAGCAGACTGCAGTAAAATTTTGATATTTTCTCTTCTTATTTACAAAAATGGAGGATTTCTTCCAACGCTTCCAAAACTCAACTTATAATATTTCCACATAAGCCTAGAGCTTCCTGTTTAAAACCTAGTAGTAGTCACATAGTCACTATGAACGGAGTTCCAATTTCCTGGTCAAACCAAGTGAAATATCTTGGATTAATACTTGACCAAAAATTAACTTTTAAATTAAATTAACTTCCTCCTTCCGTTGGATGCTAATGTGGGCTGTAGCTCGCTGCTTGCAGGCAGCCTTTCGTTGTGTACTGGAGAACAATGTTCAACACGACGTGCCGAAAGCACTACTGCTGCTGATGCTGACGACTGGAAACCACCACACACGGTGATTGGAACTGAGTCCAATCAGTGGTTGAGGGCAGCCTTGATTTCGGCCTTAATAGTCAGCTGCTTGAGGGGAGCTTCTTGTTGTATACCGGAGGACACCACCACTTACCACGCGGTGATTGAATAAAAACCGTTTTGTGAGACCGGATGGAATTCAATTTTGAAATCTATGTTAGGGAAATCGCTTTTCGCAGGCAATCGGTGATAATTTTAATTATCATAGCAACAGTTGCACATTCGTGCAACTTTCAATAGTGAAGTTTTGGAAAATGATAGAGTCTTAATTTTAACAGATGCGTAGAAATATTTCTGATCGAATGGTGATAAAATTATTGAAATTGGTCCAGGGGCAGCTGAGTAATTAACGTTAAAAATCTTTCATAATTTTGTTACATTTTCCATTTTCTGTTTTCACAAAGTGTACCCCCATATAGAAATCACAGTCGTAGTCCTACGTGAAAAAAAATATATTGAACAAAGATAAATTTGCAGTACCCAGGACTTGGTAAGCTTATTGAGTGCCGGAGACGAACCAGCTCAGGGCTTAAAGTCTGTTTAATAAAGATATGAAAAAAGTTTATTGAGATCAGAGCCTACAAAAAATATCCTAGATCTAGACAAAGAAGTTTGAAAGACTAAGACTTTTTTAAAGATCCAAATTAAGTCTGTAAACCACTGCCCTAAAAAATTAGATCCTCTTTGGTATTGCCTTCAAATTACTTCAATTTTTAAAAAGAATTCTCTGCAAATGATAATTCGTGGAGTAAGTTTTTTAATTATGTTGAAACTCAAATTAATTCTCACAAAAAAAAAAATAAATGTGCCTCAATAATTTTCAATGAACTGTATAATTCCTAAGAACGGGTTGCTTATAATAATTACCTTTAAGCACTATATGAAAATTATCTTGAAATTCGCTTCAGAGCTGTATTTAAAGTATGCTGTGAACTTCTAGGTTTTATAAGTTTTGTTTCAAATTCCTTTAAATTTCTTTGGAAATGATGCCAGTAATTTCTAGAATGCTACCTCTCATAATTCCTTGAAATAACTCTCAGTATTTTATGTGTTTCTGTTGATACCACTTTGAAATTGTTTTTTTTTTAATGCTCTTCTAGGAGTGCTTCCATTGATTTACTTGAATTGCTATTCAGAAATCCTTCAAAAATTTAATGTCATTCGATTCTCCTGGAATAATTTCTAAAGTTTCTTCAGAATTCTGTTCTGGATTTATTCTTGAGATTGGAAAATATGCTCTGAAATAAAAACTCTAATTGGGAATAATGTTTTGGATTTTCTAAAGTTTGTTTTTCCTTTATTGTGACTTTATTTAACATTGGATTATTATCAGCTGCTTAAGGTAATGAAATTAGTCAAGGAACTGTGTGTATATTCTTATTGCCATACTAATGTGCCACTGCTATAACTGCCAAGGTAAAGGACAGAGGAAAGAAAGTGGTTTTACAACTCTCCTCCTAGTTTTTTTTGTAATTTTTTTCTCAAAATCCTCTAAAACATTCTTTTCAATTATAAGAGCTTTCCAAATATTCCAAAGCTCAGAATCTTCTATTATTTTTATATGTTTCTTCGAGTTTCGGAAATGAACTTTCGAAAAATGTCTTGTCTCTGCAACTCATGCAAATGTCAAGGTTCAGAGATCCTTAAAAAATATATATTTTTTTAGGCCACATGACCACGGAAATATAGAAGACTTCATACATTTAGAATTTAAGAAATGATCTTGCCGTAAAATTTCTGAGATTCTGAGATTTGGAAAAAAAAACATTGCATTAAGATTCTGGAGCTAACAAAAATAGATATTTTTTAAACAGATGTTCATTATTACTCTTCCAAAGATTAACAAGAAGAAGAAGTTTCACTGCAGCTGTAAAATAAAAAAAGGTAGAAAAAATAATTTTAAATAGAATGATGCTTCACATCAATGCGAACTCATTTGTTTTTTGCAGATGAGCAGTTTGAATTTATACTAACAATGAAAGGACAAGCTATGCCAAAAAAATATCTTTAAATATATTGATGTCTTGCTATAACACATATTGCGAAACAATCTATGTTGTAATCAATAAAAATACGCCAAAAAACTTTCTATTTGAGGTTAGCCAGGCAATACCAATTAAGGGATAGATGTTAAGCATTTATTGTAATTGAAAACACATCTGCTGTCTAAAATATCAATTAAAAAGTTTCTGATTGCCAAAGTACTGGTAACCATTTTACTGCAAATCCTCCTCAATAAATTCCAATTGTCACTGGCTTAACTTTAATTGAAATACTGTTTGCTCTCACTCCTCCAGCATTGCATCTAAACAAAATTGGCAATATTGTGTGTAAAAGCATCCAGCTCAACGGCAGCATAGCACTCAACGTGAAATTAGATTTTTGTTGTCAATCTGATTGGTTGGTTGAAGTGTAAATTAAACTCAATTATTCGCACTTTGACTGTGCTGTAACATGGCGTGTATACTTTCGATTTCTTCTCGTCCCTTTTACTTTGCCTGTCTGTCGTGGAAAGAAAATTCATTATTTTTCATAGATAAACTGAAGACCGTTTGGAATATTCGGTGCTTGATTGTGTTTATTTTTCTGATTGGTTTTGCGACGTTGTGAAGACAGTTTTAATTGATTCAAGTAGACTCTTTCCACTGGTCCATGGTGTAAAACTTTTTCCATATGTATAATATTCAGCATTGATCGATTCGCATAACAACCATTCCTTTCGACTACAGATTTCAATTAGCTGAAGCATCCTTCAGCAGCTAGATCCCTTCATCAAACGGAATTGTTTATCGAATCAATCAAGTGGTATCAATAGATGATGAAAACGGAGAAAATAGAATCACGCCACCCAAAATCAAATAACAATCAGTATATTGTGCGTTGAGGTTATAGGAACGATATCTCTGCTCCTGTCATGAAATCATAAAACCTATCTGCCGATTTGACGAGTAAAGGAAGGTACCGTCCGGTCAGAGATCACACTCATTTCGATTCTGAATCAACAATCGACAACAACGACGATGACGACGAAGGGGAGCGTAATTAATTTTGGGGCAGATCTCATTCTTGCCAACCAGATTTCTTCAACCAAATGGTGGCTAGAGTGGCATGCTCTCAATTGGATATACATTTATGAAACCGAATACACACAGTCTGATTGCTACGTCTTTGGGACGAAGACAGCACACCACAATTTATTCACTGCAATCAACAGCAGGAATTGAATTTGATTAGGGATAAAGGAATATTGTTTGAATGTGCCTCATATCAAATGTCGAGTTTGGACGTTGATTGTTTATTTTTTTTCGATCGTCACAGCAAGTGTTGATGGCATATCTCTACGTGTATGGAACTTTTACTGTTCCATCTAGAAATTGGTCGCACAAAATGTGTAATTTCTCCAAGGGTATCATTTTGAAGGTTATTTATTTAGCTTTAAGGGAAAAATACCAGACAACATATTCGATAGCTTTTCGAATGAATTTTTGATCTTACCGCTTAATAATTCCCATCATGCCTTGCACAGTAGTACTGTCAACTTTATCTACCATTTTTCTGCAATTCAGATGGTGTTTTCGATTGTTTGGCCTCATTTCTTCAATAAAAAAAAAATAGATGGGACTGAAAAAAAATCTGGACAAATCGACATTATTCTGCTTAAACCACTCAAAAAAATCCCTGCTGTAATGGCCAAATAGTAACTGGAACAGACTTCATCAATATAAATGGTGGCACTGAGTTCAAACTGCCGGGTTTTGGATAAAATATTGCAAAATGTTACTGTTCGCATCTTGGTCAGATGATAGCAT